GTGATTGTAATCATATTGAGGCAGCGTGCCGACAGAGGTAACTATGTAACAAAGTATCCTGTCTTCGAAAAACAACTGAAAGATTTATCAAAACTGTTCAGTTCTTTTGAATCAATTAATCGTGCATCACTCTTTCCAATTTGTTTGATGTTCCTACCCAATTTTCAACAGGTCTGGACTCGTTTATTGTACCACCCACGAGATTCCATATGAAATAGTAGTATTGTGCAATAATGTGTTTTTTTTCGGAGGATAAATAGCGCAACATTGTTAATCTTTTTCGAACGAAGAGCGCCCGTAATTTAACCGGACTTCGAGATATTTGAAGTACGGTTGGTTCAATCGAGAAGTAAGATTCTTAAGGAGGTTTCGCTGAACAATCAATCGAATTAACACCCGCGGGGATTCGCTACCGAAAACCCTGAATTTAGAGTAACTCCGGTTCACTGATGTTCTATTTATTTCGGGCCAAATATTCACTCAGATAGTTAAAAATTACGCCAGAAATTTGTCTTGAAAGTGCAAAAAATTAGCAATTCTCCTCATGAATGGCTTGACAAAAGATTAGAACTTCTGAAAGTATACCCCAGGGAACATGTTTTGGCAACCAGGCCAAAAACTAAGGTTGTGCTTGCCGGAACGTGCTCAAAAATAGATACAAAACAAAACGAATATGCTGCTTACAAAGACATTTTGTGACTGTGTTCTGTCAAGTTGGAACTCAGAGCGCTTTCTTTCCTAATGAACTCATGGGGCCTCTTGTGGTGCGTACAGATTTAGAAGGTTCTATTTCTTCGTCAAAATTTCACCTGATTTTTCTCTCCACTGAAATCTATCTGGACACAAAGAGATTTCCTATTAAGTTGACTGTTAATTTGAACCATGGAATGATATTTTTCAAGATTCTTCATGAAAAAAGCGTTTGTTACCCTGATTCATCAGCCAGTTTCGTCTTTGACCTTTAAGGTTTGCGATTTGTGACCTTATGAATAAAAACGGCTTTTTCTAAGCCAACTCTAAGAATGCTGCATGTTGCAGTCATCTTAGTGAATGTGAAAACGTTCATCACTTATCACTTACTAAACTTGAATCCCATAAGCCTGGTCATGATCCGTAGGGTCTATTTATTGGTGATAATGGTTTACCGCATGGCTAATAGGACTGAATTTTATCGATTCAAAGCGATGAAATTTCAGCCGATGGACCAGGCTGTAGTAGAACAAATTGAGGGATTCAACAACAACAGTATTTTCCTACTTTGCAAGCAATTCCAATTCGTCAACACTCTATAATGCACAAGTCCCTGCCTTACCCTCCTAATCATAAGAAGATACGAATGAACCATATTATCAAACAAAATCAGGTAAGTAAATGCCGATAGTTTTTATGACAACCACCGTTTTACTGGACACATACAACACGAGTGAAATTGTTAGAACATTATGACCCTATAAACCATTATTCTAATGGCATGCCGTTTTTTTGCAAAATATGAGCAAACCTACTACCTGGTCTTTCTTACAAGTTACGGGAGCCGCGGTACTACTGGAAATGCAACAATAGTGTGTGGCCTACAAGAAAAGCTCTTTACAGTGCTTTCATCCTCATTGGGAATCGTTAGCTTTGTGCATCTCACAAAACTCTCAAAATCTTCGATTCCGTGATCCTTCGGTCAGTAATCATCCGTTTACAAGCCGCTGAGCAGCATTGTCATTGACTAGCAATTGTGTGTAAGCCTTAAATCACGGGATCCACCTCGTGTGATCATAAGTTTTGACTGACTCTTTGAGAGATGACTTATCAGATCAGATGGGAAATTCACTCAACGGCTGAATTTTGTCCTTTCTCTAAACTATTTATAGACTGTTGTCAGTGTGAGGAGAGTTGAATGTTAATTGTGGAAATGTTGTCTTGCAAACTTTACCAATCTGTCTTCAGGAGTTGAGAAGTCCTAATGGGCATCATCAACAGCGCAAAATTCCTGGAAAGAGTTCCAAGTTTGCAACATCCAGACGGGTATTTTGGACACTTAGTCGTTCAGGCAGTTTACCGTTATTCTGCCTTGATCTAGCCATGTATGTGGAAAGTTTGACGGACATTTTTATGGTGATTTATCTGTCACTGGTCCATTAGCTCCAAATAAAACCATGCTGAAATATCTGGCGACGGTCTGCCACCAGTGCCAAAAGTTTCGTTTATCGAACTTTGGGCACATCCGTTATCACGCCAAGTCAGAAGTTTTCAAACAGCTGGTACATTCTGATGAACTGTCTCCTAAAAAGAACTTATTTTGCCAAGTGAACCATATTCATGAAGAGTGAAGTAAACTAGCGAAATCCAGGGTGTCTTCAAGCGATTCTCTGCAGTAAAGCTTAAAAGAAGCTCAGGGGTTAAATAGTATCTTTTTTATTTTTATGTTTCCTTCGTAGTTACACTTTATTGTTGTAGGTGCATTTTACTCTTCAGTATTTCATTTCTAGGGTGTCACCAGCGAACTGCTTGTTGTCTTTCAACCCATCCGAATGTTCAATCCAATTTGAACTTGCTTTGTTGCGTCACCGTCTGCCCAACTTTTAAACCGGACTGTTTTTCATGTGGTAATTATTCGGATAGCACTGCAATTTACTTGTCAATATATTGAAATAAAGCATCTCATCTAAGCTAGCATTAAAATTTTCATACCGACCATACCGAACAGTCCTATTTAGTCGTCCATAAAAAGGTACTTTAAAGGGAAGAAATGGGTTAAATAGACAAGCAGTTTACTCAAGTTGCTCACTGGGTATGCGCATCGGCTAATACGAACGGCATGCCGCGGCTTGCTAAGGCAGGCGCTGGGTATACATTGGTTCCAACAAGTAGTGAAAAATATGAAGCCATTTTAAATAGGTCTGTTTTGGTACAGATCCCAGTAAGTTGCCAAATTTATACGTTGTCCATGTCGTCTCACAGGCGATGTCAATTGGTGAAAACCGTCTACAATTGTTCTCTTATTTGAACTTTGTTCTTCTCCTATACTGTAAAATAGGGCACGCTCTTTTTTTCATAAAAGAAACTACTCGCAAGGTTGTTGAAAACTCTTCGACAGCCCACGACCGGTTTCGCTCTTCTTGGGGCTCATCAAGTAGGCGCATTTCACGAGTTTCCGTCAACCTTATGATCTACTTGAACCCAAATTGCACTGTTTTGAGAAATACACTCATTTGCAAATCAATTTGGTTTTCACGAGAGACTCAACTGAATCTCTCATTTATAATATTCTACAACTAAATGTGCTGCATACAGGCCGCCTCATGATTCAGTTGGTTCGAGGATGTCGCAGTATATTTTCATAAGGGAAACTACTCAAAAGGGCAAAACCGTTCGTGCGCTGTCGAAGAGTTTTCAGCAACCTTGTGAGTCGTTTTCTTTATGAAAATATACTGCGATATCTCGAATATCGTGCCAACTGAATCATGAGGAGACCTGTGTGCAGCACATTCAGTTGTAGAATATCATAAAGGAGAGATTCATTTGAGTCTCTCGTGAAAAACAAATTGATTTGCATATTTTTGTTATGACGTAGGGCTTCTATTAGGAACATCCACCTTATTTTCAACGTGTGCAGCAAATCTATCCGTTGAAAAAAATGCCATTACCGATTTACCTTAGTTAAACGTGACTATCCCTGCAGACACGGTCAGCCATTGACATACATTTGCAATTTTTACCTTTCCAGGCCAAACACCCAGAGGAATTCGCTGTGAAATTTTGCTCAGAGTGACCAACGTTAAACTCATTCAAGCAGTTTTCTGTAATAATCTCTCTTAATGGTGGCCATAGATCGAATACACGTAAAGCAGCTAATACACAGAATCTTGCACTTTCACTTTGACGTGAATTACTTTGCACACTAGATCATCTTTGAGTTAAGGATTGATTCCAAAACGCCGAACGTCGTTTTTTTGTTTCAAAATTATTGTTGCGTTAAACGCAAATGAAGAAGCAGGGAATGCAGAGAGCACCACATGATATGATCGTATAGCGTTTTCATGTTTCACCTCATGTGCGGTTTTTTACCCCTTTTACTGCTTTTCAGTTTTCTTTATTACGGTGATTTCCAGTTAGAAAAGACGATAAATTTTATCACACTTTATAAACAGCACACATCTCCCTTGAAACGAAAGGAAAGGTGATTTTTTCCGTCGATAGTTCGTGGCATCTGAAACTTTGGATAACTGCCGGTGTTCGATAAACAACCAAAAACGAAGCAGACACCTGGTACATCAAACTATTTTGGACACGAAGAGGAATTATTTTCAGCTGGAATGCGCTTTTGTCACTGAGACAGTGATAATAATTGTCCCCTGATAAAGACAATTCTAGAAAAAATTCGACAAAAAGCTCAATAAGATCACGTGCAGTTATCCGACGTACATAATTGTTTTGTGTCCAACCCCAGTTAACACAGACTTTTCTGACATTCTTTTATCTAAATTTGGACACCGCCTCTATTTGGAGTTGGATAAAACTCCTCACGCATCGGAAAGTTTTCATCTTTGGGAGTTCCAACACCAGTTAGATGGATAGAAAGATAGAGAGATAAGTAGATTGATAGATAGACGATGCGCCCTTAAATCTGTCTTTACGACGAAATTATGCTTTAGCCGATTAAGCTTCTGCGTACAGCTTAGACGCCTAAAATTGGCACAATGAAACAAAGGACTCTGCTCCGCAAAAACTCATGTAACTTCCTGGTATCGTTGTATTCAATGCCTATGAGTTTAAAGGACAAAGATGTTCGACCAAGTTGGACAGCTGTTCTTCCTTCACCCAAAAATATCTGGCAAGACTGAGAAAATACAGCAGAGAGATCTTCCGTACAACCGTTACCCAGGCTGTAAATCATGTAATGCTAGACGCTGCAGTTGCCCTTATATACGGACCTTCTAAAATGTAAGCACCATAATTTTGAGGTTCTGCCGAACCAACGCTTTAGTCTCTGGAAAACACAGTGAATGATTTTGGCATCCATGGATGAGTCAACAGCCGGGACATTTGTCTTTGTTGAAAATACAGAACACGAGGCAGTACTAGTTATGCTGTAAATCTCTCAGGATGCAAAATACATGAGAATACAAGTTTTCCCTGTCCTCTTGTCCCAGTCAAGACGCGAATGGTCACAGTGAGGTCAATAAGTTCAGCCATTGGTCGTTTTTGGCTTGTTATCTGGA